TTGACACTACGGACGACTTCCGCCGCGTAACTAAGTACTTACGCGAAAACAAGATAGGTTTCCACACCTACTCGCTGCCCGAAGAAAGAAAACTTCGGGTTGTAATCAAGGGCGTCCCGAAAGAATCGGATGTCGATAGGGCTAAGGTCGACATCCGCACTCAGGGATACCCTGTGCACGCCGTGCGTCGCCTCAGACACCCTCGCACCCGTGTCCCTATGGACATGGTCATGGTCGAACTTGACCCTACCCCGGAAGGTAAGGCCATCTTCAACCTGAAGAGGGTCTGTGGGCTCAGTGACTTAGTCATCGAGCCCCCGCGCAAGTCAGGAGTTGTGGCTCAGTGCCACAACTGTCAACATTTTGGCCACACGGCCAACAATTGCTTCGCTCACCCTAGGTGCGTCAAATGCACCGGTGACCACGGCACGACCGAGTGCACGCGGCCGAAAGATTGCGCAGATCCACCGGACTGCGTAAACTGTCACGCCACCGGCCACCCGGCTAGTTATAGAGGCTGCGCTAAGGCCCCGAAAACTCCCGCGAGAAAATCTCCCGCGAAATCCACTCTACCCAAACCCGCGCCCGTAAAATACGTTCCCGCGCCCGTACCCGTCACAAACGCTTGGGTGAAACCCCAGGTGGCCGCGCAGGTAGTCACGCCTCCGGTCGCCTCACGACCGATCGCACAATCTCAGCCCGCCTATCAAACGGTGCCGAGGCCACAGGTGCAGCCAACTCCGTCGGTTTTCGCGGAAAACAAGGACGACCCGTTTGCGCAAATCGCCAACATCTGCAGCCATTAGACCGAATCAATAGGCAGGAACTCGCCGTATTGTCCGCTAAAACAGCGGCCGCCACATCTGGCAACGAGCGCCTTAGAGCAATCAGCCAACACAAAACGCTTGTAGAAGCCCTATGGGCTTTTACGAGCCAACCATAAAAAGACATAATATTCCGCGCAATAAAACCACGCTCCGCCGCGTCGTTAATTAGAACCATAAAAACACTTTAATGGGAAGTACAACCGCAGGTAGAACAAAACCTCAGGCTCTGGTTGTTTCGTATTTCAACGCAAACGGCATAAAGGGTCAAAGGGACGAAATCGCAGAATTCCTTCGCGATTATAACGTAGATATTTTTCTAGTGCAAGAGACATTCTTAAAACCTAGTGTACGCGATCCCAGAATCGCAAATTACAATATTGTCCGCCACGACCGGTTAGCAAACCGTCTGGGAGGCACATTAATTTACTATAAACGTTCCTTGCACTGTTGCCCGCTCGACATTCCAGAGCTAAGTCAAATAGAGGCATCCGCGTGTAGGTTAGCGCTCACCGGCCACAGGCCGCTTGTACTAGTCTCAGCCTACCTCTCGGGGAACAAAACCTTATTACAAAGCCTAGATACGCTACTCAACTTAGGCCCTTCCGTAATAATTGCAGGAGATCTAAACTGCAAACACGGCTCATGGGACATCCACAGCATCCCAAATAACAACGGAAAGCATCTCTTTAGCTTATCCGATAATTTAAACTTTAGCATAATCGCTCCTACGACTCCCACTAGGTATCCTACGGTGGACAACTACCAACATGCGACACCGAGTATCCTAAATATCATGTTATTCAAGGAGGTCACGCTCGACATCGAGTCGATAGAGACAATCCATGAACTAGATTCAGATCATAGGCCCGTCCTGTGTAAACTGGGCCAGAACGCCGGCGCGGTCCCTCCGACCAAATCCGTAGTGGACTGGCATCGTCTTGAGGTCAAACTCAAGGCCTTGGACCCCCAGGACTTAGTCGACCTACCCGAGACGATAGCTACGTTCGATGACGCAAATCGAGCGATAGCAAGTCTCCGAGAAACCATTACTTCCGCAGTCACAGACTCGGAACGGACGGCGAAACTGTCGGGCGACCGACGGTTTAACTTTCCGCCCGACCTACGACTGCTAATTAGACAGAAAAATGCAGCCAAACGCGCCTTCGACCGATACCGATCGGAATCGAACCGATTCCTACTTCGACGCCTTCAGCTAGAAGTCAAAGATCGTGTATCGAATAGATGACGCCAAGCATTGCTTCAAATGCTAAGAAAACAATGTAGAAGAATGCGTTAAGATTTTCGTCGGTGTGGCAATCAGCCGTTTAGCTCAGTGGCTAGAGCGTCAGGCCGCGAATGTAGAAGACATGGGTTCGATTCCCACAACGGCGACAATCTTTTCGCACATTTTCTACATATTTTAATGTTATATATCTTGTTTTGTATCTTTATTTAATATATATTAATTGTATGTTATGTATTGTGTATACAGCGTGTCTTTACCACCGTGACAATAAATGAACACACGTCTAACGCTACTTGCCAATAATCATAAAAAAATATTAACTTAAAAAAAATTCATAATTAAAAAAAATATTATTCAAACAAACTAATTAAGTAAAAAAGAAACAAAATTTGTAACATCCTATACAACTACAACTGACTGATTTATACATTCGGAGACTTTTTCATTCGTTGCCACAGCGCCGCATTACAAGCCTCTCCTTCTAACAGTATGTTTTGTCTCTTTTAAATTCATTCAACCCATTTATATGCTTTGGGACCTTTACAAATGAACTTTACATTTCAGTTTTATACGTAAGGGTGTTCTAAAATTCTTTGTTTTGGAAAATTTGATAACTCGGTAAATATTGATGTTTAAAGAATGTAAATCTTTAATACAATTACAAAAAGCTATCCTCTATATATCATTTATTAAAATAATTAGGTATTTCATATTACCTTTTTTATTTATATTCCATTTGATTTTTGATATTTAAAGAGAAAAGTTAAAACAAGATTTTTAAGATTATCCGTTCCTAAGTTTTGGCTTTACACCTTCTTCCAGTTGGTGGTTCAATTTATTTAGGCGTCCCTAACATATTTAACGTTACACGGCAACATTATAAGCTATTCGATAAGTTATTTTCCATTTGAGAGGTTTATCGGCTACTAAATGCATTATCGTATTAAGGCCATCAATGAAGCTTTTTCACATAAAAGAGCATGGGCGCGCTGTAAACTGGGTTTGATTGAAATAAAAATTTGTTCCTCCATGATTTCATGTTTGGTAAAAAAGGTATTCGTTCCTAGTGTCGTTATTGAACAGAATGAAAAGTAAATAGTAGATATACAATTCTATATAGAATGATGAAATATAGAATATATAGAATTGCATAATAATCACCATAATCATTATTTCGGCCTGTTTTAGCTAGACATAGACATAGCCCCCCCCCCCCCCCCCCACAGACTGCTACGAAGCATGATTCTGAGACATTTGCATCCACCGACTACCCGGTCATTAGCACAGGGCGTCACTAAATCTAGTGGGGGGGGGGGGGGGGGGGGTCGTCTTATACGAGGCTGCCACTCGTGAAACTTTCTTTTCTTCCCCTCCGGTTATCGGTTTGAGTTTAACAATATGAGGTTTTTCTCTTTCCAAGCAGTAGTATTACCCGATGTAAGCAGTTGGTTGTGTATTAGCTACTATATATACAAAATCATACAACATATACTATAAATACAACACCATGTGCAATGATCTCTTTACCAGAAGCCATAACTATGTAATTAAATGGGGGTTGTCATTGGTTAATGAAGTCTCACAGCAATTGATAATTTCATATATTATTATGTTTAAAATGGATACATAACAAACATTTATTTACTTGGGTTTTGTAGTAATAAAATAATGCACTTTAAAACTAAAATGAAACTGAAAATTTGAAACTGAAATTCAGGGTTGAGGGTGTTTTTAACTAGACAAAAAGAAAAAGAAACTTGCTTGTAATTTCGGGTTCAATTTTATATTGAAAATGTTTAATTTATAACTAGCTTATCCCCTCGAATTTAGCCGCTTCCAGCGTTAATACTTGTAACATCTATACGATTTATGCTAAATCTTTATCTCAAAGGGATCCATTGGTTTTTTTATTAATAGACATAAGCAGATCTTTCAACGTTAACTTCCGTCCACTTCTAGACGGGCAGCGATTTGCTCCAAAATGTGCATATGTAGATAATTTTATGCTTTTGACTGGTCAGGACTACCAGGATTAAAAAAAAATTAAATAATTTATATGTGTATAATTTTAGTCAAAGTAAAAATTTCTTTATTAGCCTAAGCTCTTATTGAACGTCAATAAACTACCACCGATTCACTAAACTAGACCTGTCCAGAGAAGAATCGGCAAGAAACTCTGCTTTCTTATTTTCGATAAGTAATAGTCTTACCATTATATATGATACTGCAATTTCATATCACATATAAATTTAATTTTATTGTAAAACAAATCTAGGGTGCACTTTAACCATATTTTTGCAATAACTCGAATTTTATAAGAAGCTACCAAAAACCTTTCTGGAATAATTGAGGTCTCACACCCCTTTTTGTTTTAAAATTTTGGTATGTTACTTTTCTTAACATCTTACAAAAAGACAGTTTTTTAATATTTAAAATAAGAATTTGCAAGATTTTCATTAATAGTTCCCTATTACACTATTCCCTTGAGGGTTCTTCCTTTGCTTATATATCATCTACTCAATATAAAATATTTTATCTTCAAATTAATAACACCGTTGAAATTAATATGGCTATGATTTATTTGCTGAGGTTTAATTAATTCCTCTAGTAACTTATGATTACTGGCAGAAAATAATCTAATATGGGGAACGTAACATTGAAAACGTTTTCGGTTTCATATGGTACGATGCGTCAGATCAATAACCACGTTCACGGAACTTGTTTACGCTACTTTAACCTTTTACGCTTCAACTAAGAAATTTTAACTTTGCTTATTTTATATTTGATCAACTATATAACGTTCTAAATTGATTTTATTATTTAGATCAACGAATTGGTGTCACGGTTGACACCTTCTAAGCTCTCACGATAATATTTATTCATTGTTTATTATTTATTCTTTAAAAGACAAAGTTTTTCTTTCCCAGAAAGTCATGAGAATAGTTCAGAGCCCTGACAACGGCAACGTGGCGGCTGTAAAGAAAAACGGGGTCGAGTCACGTACAAATACGGAAAATGGAAGCTGGCTCTTCTTGAACAACACGAATCAGCTCAAAAACTGTAACATAATTCACGAAAATCATAATAAAAGTTGCAATAACTTTTATGTATTAATAAACAATAAAGAGGTCACAGATACACTGCACAATACCCAAGAACATCATACTGCCGACGTGATTGTCGAGACTGGAATATGTAATAGACAATATAGAATCAATAATCAAAACGAGTACACAAACGCGAATGAAAAACTTGAAACAAGCAAACTGGATAGCCATCAGGAAAATAGTTTGCTTCATTGTGATAGCCCTCCAGGTGCGTACAATTATAGTAATGAGAATTGGATCCTATTTCACTTTACTCTAGTGGGTACTTTCTATCGATATTGCGGTGGAATTAAGAGAGAAGATTAAATTGATGATATAGGTAATGTATTTATAGACATGATAATTATCGAATCGATGTTTTCTTCTAATCAAAATAATTTATTAGCTCAAAAAGGATCTCTGCAGTTATTTTTGATTTTTGCAGTGATAGGGCCTCTCATCAGCTTCTACTGCTGCACTAATTGGCAGGCTCATTTGGGGACCGTAGACTTACTGGCGGCCAGTGCCAGTATTATATTGTCATGTTTCTTGGTAACCTGGAAGTCTGAGTTGACTGGGACATTTGTTAAAGATTGTCAAGGCATCTACAACTTCAGTTGTTGCAGATGTCCATGGGAGACGGTAATTGATTAACGTCTACTCGTTTGACAAAGAACACATTTAATTATAATATATTATAATACATTTACAAAGAAGACATACTGAAACATATCTAAATTAATTAATTTTTTAATATTATGTAGATTCAACTCCCAACGAAGTAGACCATACATTTGAATATTCGGACACAGATGAGATGACTGAAAATGTTCAACATTCACTACCAAGAGGCATCGTGAACCCTAATTACCCTGGCTTCCAACACTTAGCGCACACCTTACAGGTAAAATATAACTTTCTCTAAAGAAACCCCTGAAGTGTTGCAAGTTAACACTAGTCACTACATAAGAGAATCCATAGTAACTTCTAGCGATAAACTATGCAAGCTGACTTGAGTTTCTTATGGAATCAAATAATAATAAAAGATATTTTTCTGGTCTAGACCCGACAGATATTGGTTCTGTTAGCAGGTCATGAGTTAGATTGCCAATGATGCGAGATCATTTGGTTTATTTAGTTGTTTGGGATAAAGGTGTCTGTCTATGCGCAGGATATATAGGTACCTACAACAACTCTGTAAGATGAAAGAACACAAGAAGTGTAACATACGTTTTAATAATAATTAATCCATATTTGATTCTATCAAATGTTCCTTACAGGATTATTCTTCTAACATTGAAACGTTTTATCAATCGGAAAATGAAATGACGGACGATGATATAGATGCAGATATTGTGGACATGACTCATACGTTGGAGACAAACAAGAACGAGATTATTGGTAATAACAACAATAATGCTGATTATGTTTTGAATAATAGTATGTCCGTTTGTGATTTGCAGTCGAAAACTGAGACACCAAATCAAGAAGCACATGACATTCCAGACCTTTTAAAAACTATATCCAATAACAATAACATTGAGTCACCGAGTTTTGATTGCTCCACTACTGATATAGAAAATAATTTTGGCACAAAAGATATTATTGGAGATTTTAATAAAGAAATCGAAGAAGAAATCAAACAACTCTTAAATTATAACATTAATATCCAAGATGATCTTGAAGAATTAAGAAAAGACATAAAAGATACTTTTGCTAAACCAATAGAAAATACAATAAATAACATAAGTGATGTTGTTAATCATGTCATAAAGAAACTGGTTGAAACACAAAAAGACACGAGCGAAAATCTTGAAAATAATGAGGCCTATAATAAACTAGAAGTAGAAGAACTGAATAGCATAAATAAAGAAAATGAAAAAAATACTAGAACAGAGATGAATTTAAGCAGGCCTACATTTTTATGTATAGATGATCACACGAAAAATATAATAAAAGATGCTATGTTATCAGATGGTAAAGATGAAATAACAATCTATGAAAATGAATATGATACAGAAGTCCTAAGTCATAACGTAGAAAATACAATAAAACAATTGAGCACGGAATTAAGAAAAATAATACCAAAATTAAATGAAATGCGTGAACGTGACCGATTATGGTCTGAAAATCTAAAAGAAGCATCTTCTGTTTTTATGGATACAAATTCAAATGAAGTAAATGATTCTACAACCTTAAAACCCAATAAACTGACCCAAACAGATTATATTAAACAAGATGAAAATGAACTAAGAAATGCAAGTAAATTTCGAAGGCCACCTGCTATATCGTCCAGGTAAACATAGCCTATTTTAATATAATTAAAAAGGTATGTGATAACAGCCTCAGAGCACAAAATATTGCAGAAATAATTATGTTACTATTAAACTATTTATACAACCTTCAAAAGTGGAATATAGAAACATTCGACCAATATTTTGCGCTCTCTATGGGACATAAGACATAAACGTAAAAAGATATAAATAGTGATAACGTAATAAATATATGATAATGATTAATAATAAATATATAGTAATATTTCACAAACTTATTATATAACAGGATTCCGTGACACGCAATATCGAAAACGACGCGACGGTCTATGTACGAGTAGAGAGAAATATACATGATGAATATGATACCAGTATGATATAAATTTTTTAAATATTTTGCCAGTTTATACAAATACAACGTGGCGCTACTAACGAGACCAAATTAACACACGTATAGAGGATTACTTTTTAATATCGTATCAAACATTTACTTTCTAAACATCAATATTTAGCGAGTTATTAAATTTTCCAAAACAAATAAATTTAAGAATACCCGTACGTATAAAACTGTAACGTAAAGTTCATTTTGTAAAGTTCACAAAGCATACGAATTGAATGAACGAATTTAAAAGAGATAAAACATACTCTTGGAAAGAGAGGCTTGTAATGCGACGCGGTGGCAACGAGTGAAAAAGTCTCTGAATGGATGAATCAGTCAGTTGTAGTTTTATAATATGTTCAAATTTTGTTTCTTTTTATTTAATTAGTTTGTTTGAATTTTTTTTTAATTACTTTGGATTTTTAACGTTCATATTTTTTTTATTATTGGCAAATAGCGTTAGAAGTGTGTTCATTTACTGTCGCGTTTGTAACGCCATGCTGTATTTGAATAAAACGCAAATTAATTTAATTGAAATGACAATAATATAGCTAAAATTTAAAATTAAATGTTTCGCTTGTGTGAACGATAAGAGGAACTGCTACAGTTAGAAGTAAATCGCAATTATGTTGCAAAATAGTAGAGTTCAAACAAATTGAAGGAGAAAAACGTTAAAAGTTAATTTTTATATAACTGAATCTTATGGTTCATTGTCCTTACTATACATATACATTCTATTATACATTCTTTGTCCTTGCTATACATTTTGACTGATTTTTTGTTCTATCCATGAAAAAGAGATTTCTAAACTTAAAAAAGTGTATTTTTAAATCAATTTTTCTAATATTTCAGTTAATATGTACGAGGGTTGTCTTTTGTTACATATTGTAAATTTTTCGTGGTTCCTATAATATATGCAATGTATAGTACATTAATCAAACTTATTTTGTATGGAATCAAATGGTCTTCACCTCTGCAGTTTCTTATAGTTTTTATTCAACCGTTGTTCCATGGTTGAGTAACTTATAATAATAATAATAACTGCAAGTAATAACATGGCCAGCTTATTATAATAATAGTAATCGACACACGAGCTGGCAGTTCACCTAATGGTAAGTGACAAGTTGCCCATGGCATTTGCAACACCCGTAGGGTTACCTTATAATAAAGTGGGCCGGGACCTACTCATCAGACGAAACGCAGAAGTACTTCCACTTCACGCCGGTCGTCTGTGTGGTAGTGGTACTTACCCCGCCGAACCTCCGCATTCGTGCAATAGCGAACACTTTTGCTGGCCCTACCTAAGTACGGTTACTTACTATATCGAAAGTGACGCACAGTAAGTATAACTTACGTACTATGCTTCACTTCACTTACGATATTTATGGCGCGGAGTCCTGTTATTTTACTAGTCCTTGTAATTTATACAACTTTTGTATAGAAATCCGAAAACTGATCTCTTATTTTATGAAAAAGGCAATACAAATTTGATGATAAAATAAAACTAGTTTATTCCTTCAAATGTAGTGGGACCATGCCACAGACTTGACTGTTGCACAATTAGATGGGTCCGTCCGGGGAAGTACCACAATCTCAAGAAAGACCTGCGTGAAGAAGAAGTGTTACACTGTTTTCTACGTTTCGTTTAGTGATTGAGGTAGTAGGGCCCACTTTATTAAAATGTGGCAACGCATATGCCTATTGCATCATCCTACTGCTATTTCAAATGTCAATAAGTGGCAGTTATCACTTAACATGGCGGGAACCGCCAGCTCGCTTGCCACCTTTTAAAAGAATCCTAGTACAAAGGCTTCACCTTATTTAACCTCTTTAGAGTTTGAAGTAATATTTTTTTAATATTGATTAAAAATGTATCATTAAAATAACTAATAACTGTACAGTTCATTGAATTCAAAGTATATTTTAAAATCTTACACATTATTATTTATTCAATACGAAACTTATAAATATTTTTTACTCTCACGTTTATAACGTAGGAAGTAGGTACCTACTACTGTTTTAAATAGATCTGATGAAGCTTATGTAAGCTTGGTAAATTTAGTACAAATTTGAAGTCTTGTACGCGTATCATGCACACGCTTTAGGAGAGGCTAATCTAAAGCTTCTTTTAATTTAGTAAATAAAAATTTAGGAGACTATAAGGTTAAGACTATAAATTTATAAATTAAATATACTGTCACTAAACATGCACCATTTCAGCGCAAGAAGGTCATCCAGTGATCGAAAGACAACCATTGCTACAAAATCATCTAAATCTCAAAACACCACAACCGTCCCTAAACATGAAAGTCCAAAATATTATGATCTGGGTAAGTAAATTCCATTAATAGCATTAATGTGAGTAGTGCAATTAAAAAATAATATAAACTTCTCAGTTGTGTGGAAGGGACTGGATATAGTAAGTCCCAACGACCACTGACCTAGAAGATTTATGGTGTTAATCTGATTTGTGTTTTAGCGATTATTTATTTTTAAATAACACCAATTTATTTAGCAGCGTCTACAAAAATAGCCTTTACAGAATATCTTCAATACGACTTAGCTTAAGATCTAATCCATTGTTGAAAAAAAATATTCAGGTAGAACTTACAAGAAAAAATCCCTGTAATATATAATAAATATGACTAAGCATGTATTTGAGATAACGATGTTGTGATGTATATTTAAATCAATGCCTCATGTGAATTTCAGAAAGTTTTGATGTTTATAACATAGAAACTGCACTACCTAAAATAGACTTGGATGCAATCGAAAATCATTTAAAAGCAGCAAAAGAAGCCGAGAGACGGGTAAGTACTACTTGATGAGCTACCTAAAAACGATGTATAATACAAAACATTATCTATGTGTTTTATTGATAATGATAAGTTTTCATAAACAATATTTAAATTTTGGCGCTGCAAAATAACTGCATACATTCACATATGTATACGCATTTGCGTGTCCACGCAATACAGTTAATTTCAATAAGTAGCAAGTCCAGCTTTCTACAGTGATTCAACGTCGGCGTGGGCACAGTGCCTTTACTTTTATGCACCATCTCATTCCGTGTTTCGGTGTGCAAGGAGTTGTGACGTATCATTATTGTTTTGCTAGCGAACGTTTCGGTTTTGTAATTATTTCCTAGAGTGATGGCGTCAATGCCATATTTTAATTCTGAACAAAGACATTATAAAAAAGATACGAGATTCCTTCTGGATCTATACACTATTACTTATGACAACCATGAATCCGTCGATAATATTTGTTGTCTTGTAAGTGTCCTTTTAATTATGTATTTTACTATTAACCATAATGCACAAAGAGAAATAGAACACATCAACTCAATTTGTCACACATTTGTCCTTGCCCTAAATGTCAAATTATGACAGGATTATTGTTTTCTTTTTGCTTTTATTTTCATTTAAATATTAACCTGCTAACTAACACACCAAAAATAATTTGTGCCATAATCGCCCAATTTTGCCAAAATCATAAGACTGATTAATATTAAGATGTTTGAAGAATTTATTACTAATATTAAACGAAGATTTAGCAAGACGTCTGATTGCGGTCGTGATAACGTGGAATATGAAAAATCAGGATATAAACAAAGGCAAACATATTTATTCAAAAAGAAAATGAATAAATCTGAAGCCCTATCTTTATCCATTAATAATTATCATGATAATCCAGCTTTAAGCCCAAGAGCACTAGGAGCAGGAGAATGTGCGGAAACTGAAATTGCATGGCCAGTTATTACAGATAGTAACCCAAATATTTTGGATAAGTTTACAAAAATAGTGACAATAACCTATGACTCCTATAGTTATAATAAAGTATGAGATGGTACAGTTACTCTTTTGGTAATATAGAGAAACATATAATCTTTGACAAAGTGGATATTTGATTTTCAGAAACGGAATGATAGAGAAGAAATCAGGAAACGATTGGCAATGGATGCTGACAATGATGAATATTATAGTTTAGGTCACACAGATAGACCTGGAAAGAAACCAAGTCTACATTCACGTTTGCAGAATGGTAATTTATTATTAATATCACTAGCTTTTTGTTGGTGTTTGGTGTTTTTGTAAATGTGTTTTAAATCAGTACATTTCAAGTGTCTGTTCACATGCTAAGCGTAGTGAAGTACTGTTTAACATACTCATAAAAAGTGGATTTCTAAAAGGAATTATTAGTACTATATATTAATTAAAAGTACATTGAAATGTCTTTGTTGTATCCATTTTTCGTTTTCATTTCATTTGGGAATTGCATCTAACTATTGTTGTGTTGTGGTGGCATTGCACAGGAAAGAACCTACAAATTTGTTTCATGAATGAAACTGCATCAGACAATGAGTCTCAAGCATCTGACATAGAAAAAAACTTACACTGTTCTAGTAAAAGTTTATCCCGCCCAAGTATTTTTGGAAAAAGCAGCAGTCATAATCATCCATATCAAACCAGACCTCTGTCTGTAAATATCACAAAAAATGATAAAATTAGCAATGCACAGACTGGTAAGTAAAAATAACTAGTATTATCCCAAATATGTCATCAGTATTAAACATTCACCATGATTTATTTTTGGTATCCTCTGCTATTTATGTAACTTTTCTTAACTGTAGTTTGTTATTGTTAAATGATTCTGATGATCGTGATAGAACTATGCTTATACATAAACTATAGTTATTTTAATCTAATTGTTATACATCATATAAAAATATCTCAATGAAATCCTATTTCAGGTAATAAGTTTCGTCCTTCATCATTTATATTAAAATCATCAAAATCTTGTTCTACACAGTCATTAAACCACATTGATGTCAAGGAGACTGATTTTTACACTTTGCAAGCAACATTACAAACTGAGGCTAGGATTGCACTTGCTCAAGCAAAAGAAATGGCTCATGTGCAGATGGAGGTAAGTCATGAAAGTTATGACACAAATATATTTTACAATGTTAGTATAGTAAACATTGTGCATAATTATAAAATAATTTATTTTCCTAAAACACTTTTTTAATTTCATTTTGTTTGGAAATTCCAAGTACATGCATTATTTTCACATTAATTATTGTTTTAAATTGGTATTGAGGAAGTTTTTATGAATATTGGTAATGTTACACCTTTCATGCAGTTTTGGAAGAGTGCATAGAATCATTCATAAACAATTTTTTTATATTCAGTAAACTTCTTTTTTTGAATTTAGTGTTTACGTAATACTTTCAAATTTTCCAGAGAGAGCGGCTCAGCCGTGCAGTCTCTCCTGTAACAGAAATGCTTCGCCGAAGTATGGAGAAAGCCAATGCTCCTCTAGCTCCAGATCGACGTCGTGTCTCACGTCAGCTACTTACTGACATGAATATAGCACAGTTACAGGTATCTTATCTGTTGTATTTTATTAACCTATTTTGTAAGTCTAGATACAAATATTGAATTTTAGAAAGGACAATATTTTTACTATATTTTAACTTACAAATTAGCTTTGTGATGTACCATAAGACACTGGTATTTTTTTTTTGGTTATTTGTTCATAAGAGAAACAGAAGTGGTTCATAAGTAAGGTATTTGATTAAAAATGCCTTTTTTGTAAATTAACATTATAATACTATTTGGCCTTTTGCCCTTGATTTCAATAAAGATAAATTTGTGTTTCTGGAATAATTAAATTATTAATTAAAAAATAATATAATTAATTAAAAAATACTGATAAGCAGGAAAGATGAAAGATTAAAAGCATAAAGTTCCATTTCTCTATTCATATAATTACAGCAAAAGCTAAGCTACTATTTTCATGAAAGTATGTTGATATTGAAGTAGGTTTCAAAGAAAAAGCATATTTTGTGGAAATTATGTTGTATTTTAAATATATTCTTTAGACACTTTATTATATTGCCTGACCTTCACGCTTTATGAATCATACTAACACATCCACATAACAATGGACATTGTTACATTTGTATAGTGTATCTTGTTAACCTATTTACTGTTTACATTTACATTAATGTGTTTTTGATGATAAACACCGTGAACTAACAAAATAACAACTTTTTTGTTTTTGTACCATTTCTGTCTTGTTAATTATTTTAAAAGCTATATACCTATTTATATATTCCACAAAGCTGACACTTTGAGGAAATTTTCTTCAAATAGTCTTAAAAGTACCTATGCATAAAGAGATGCCAGCATATACATACTACTACTGACTTATGTTATTTGATGACGCCAAACATTGCTAAAAATGCAATAAAAAGGAAGTAGATAGCTGTCGCAATTTTTGCTGATAAGTTAAGATGGGGCAGCTGGGGTGGTGGTTTCCCATAAGAACGTTTGCACCGCGTAACAGCGAAAATTTTTCGACTATTTTACTAAAACAATACATGTTTTAAGTTCTATATTGACTTCACTTATAAGTAATTTTATTCTTATACTTTTTGGTTAATGTTTATGAAAAAATAAAAATCAGTAACAATTATTTTATATATTCAGTTTGAAATTTGAAAACAATTATATATTAAAATGATAAAATAAGATTCACTTCCATACATCAACAATAACATATGAGAAGAAAAGTCTAAACCTTACTGAAGTCTCGATTTATTGATTGTTATCCAAAATGGTAATGCTTTATGGTCATGTGTACAACATATTATTCCTACACGAGTGACTTTTTAATCTTTAAATTTTTTTCCATGATGTACTTCGCTCCGTTTATCGGAACTTGATGTTTTACCGCTATTACAGGTGATAGTGAACGAGTTACATTCCCAAATCGAGTCGCTGAACGACACGCTAGTGAAGCTGCTAATGGCTCGCGACGAACTTCACATGGGCCAGGATTCTATGCTCGTCGACATCGAGGATCTCACCCGCTATTTGTTAGTTATCTCTTTATTTTTATGTAATTATATATGTACCTTAGAGAATTGATAATCTGTAGCATCGAAACATTCGGATTATACTCTGTTAAATAAATATGTGAAATTAAAATAAGTACATATTTGGGGTATTTTATAATAAATTCAGTTCGTAAGTATAAAATACGTTTACTTGGTCGTAAACTTATCTGTTTTAGTGTATGAGTGAGGGGGGGGGGGGGGGAGTTATTATTGACACCAAGAAAAAGCCTTATAGCTTGTGAATGGAGAATTGTATTAAAATAGAAGTAGGAGATATCGCTACTGCGGAAACACAAAGGGCCTCGATAGATATGGGACAATTAGGAAATGTAGTGACGTTCGGTTCAACATGGGTACGGATCATCGACGCTCTGCTGTAATTGTCTAACGACATATTGTTTACTTATTAATGGAAAACACGGCGGTGTGTAATAACGGCGCGTTATTACTGTATAAGTTACTTATCTTATTATTATATATATTATTATTATTATTATATTATATTACTTTATTATTATTATTACTGCAGTCACGAAGGTCCAGAGGAAATTAATGGTCGGACACTGCGCGTAATGTACGCAAATACAGTGAAGAACTATTTGATGAAAAGTTATTTTGACAGCATTAAAGAAAATTCCAATCTATACGAAATAAAATTACGCCACTTGGCATTGAAAGGTCCTCCAGCTGGTACCAATTATCTAATAATAAGAATAAAATTGTTTCCGATTACAGGGGTGTCAAAGAGCAGACAAAAAAGACAAAGGGCACCACAAAGTCGGCGATGAGACGGCTCACATCGTTGGTGCAGAAATAAGTACACCGTGACAGCCCTTAAAACTGATTCAACAATCAAACACGTCCTTTCGGACCAATGAAGTTACGCAACTTCGTAAGCTCAGTCTAAGCTAAACCCAACGTAGTGAGATAATTTTGTGTTGCCATTAGTACAACTCGACGTATACATTGTTGAAAAACGTAAACCTTTGTGATTCAGGCTTAGTAAATGTTACATGTGATTAACTATACTTTGTCCATAATGTTAGTAATGTTAAACATAGTGTATTCTATAATTACATAACACTATATTTACCAAAAACGTGTATATAACACACTCGTGTTTCTATTCTGTATCGGCAACGCTCGTTGTTATTGCGATTATTTATTCCAATTTATATAGTCCTTTGTATGTGTATATAGGGGTTTTTAATACTAATCCCGTCGTATCTCCCAGTTGTATGCATTATTGTTAGATATGTATATTGATGTAACCGCTTCAAAATGGATGTATAGCCCAACTTGTTATATGAAGTTTACTCGCAAATTAAGATAAATAAATATTTTTTCATTGCAGAGCTCATTAATAAAAGTTGAATTCGCGCGGCGCTCGCACTTTGAACGCAGGATGGCGATATTTAAGACTTTGTTACTGTTTAGATGTTCTGGTAAAAGTTTCAACGTACAGAAAAAAATTACATGTAAACCGGTCGCAATATCATTGGACCGGTAATATTAGATGGAAGTATTTAATTTTACAAATGTTCTAACCACTTTGAGCATGTTTTGAATTATTATATTCTAGGCCATGTACGATCTAGGTCCACAGATATGACGATGGGTTTGCAATGAAGGCAATTAAAATAACCCACTATAAAATTTCTTAAAAAACATAGGCAAAGGGTAACCACTTAGCTATTATTTAGTCTTACATGTTTCCCACTCTTATCTTTAGGCCATTATTTAAATCTTCAACGATATTTCTCGCTCTGTTTGTTTAATGCTAAAATTGATTTCGTTACCACAAAAATAAATTAAATTATTTTCCTAATATTTTCCCTCTTAGCAGTAAGTATGATTTTAAAGCGTTCCTATGAATCCATATCAAATACTCGATAAACGAATTTACTATTTATTTTTCGACAACCCAAGATCTCGAAAACCGTCAATGATCGAAATATGAATGCTATCTTTGCCCATTGTGTTAATATCATCTAATGTAATAGTACTTATTTTAGACTTCGGACATATTATGATCTCTTCATGACCAATTTTATCGTATATTTTCATTCGCAAACATTACATTTTTCTAGGACATTTCCTTAAGTGTACCGATCCCTTGTTTATTAATATTATAAACATCAAACTATTTATAGTTTTATGACAAACTGTAAGGTAACCACGGTACGGTTTTACAACTATAAAAAAGAATCAAAAATATTCAACTAGTTCAGCTATAGAAATTATTCAGGTAATTAGGACTCTTGAAGAAAACTATGACTAAACAATCTTCTGATAATTTATAACTACTATTAAGTTATAAATTATAAGTAGACTTGCATTACATATAGTATTAGATACATGTTCATATAGAGGTCATGCATATTTTATGCAGAAGCTTTCATACAGCATTGAATGCATAGACATTTTAAAATTTTAAAGGCAACATAAAATGTATCACATTTGTTTATTTCTTTGTGGGCAGTTTAATGTTTTCAAACAGGGTCTTGTTTTTTATTAAGGTTAATTAATTGTAACTTCTTTATTGTGTTAACTTTTTTTGTTTTAGCGGTAAATGTTTTAGTTACCACATAATATTTCGTTTAGTTTTAATTCAATTATGGGTGTTTTAAAGGGGTAAATAATTGATCTACCAGATATGTATATCTTATTTAAAACTTATTAGCGCTTATGTACTGAAATTATTACGAAATTAATTTTTGTTCTGCATTGGAATTCTCGATTTGTCATCTTTATTACTTTTTTTCGAATATTTTCTATTTAACAAGATATTGTGGTAAAACCAACAACAACAAAACTATTAAAAAACGTTGATAATTGTAACTACTATCCACAATTCTTTCTTTTTTAATTACCTTCATAAAATCTCTTTCATATATTATATATTGCAGCGAATTTTTTTCATCATTATTGCAATTGTTTTGTTTGGATCTATTAAGATATATCATTTTGCAAGTCATTATCTCAATATTTTTTACGAAAATGAAATATTGTTTCGACAAATTTATATGTAGTCATATTTTTTGTTTTTTTATCAGTATTGATATTTTGGTGGATTTACTTTACAATATTAAATAAATTCATTCTTTAATATTACTAAGTACAACTTTGGTGCACTCTTACCACTGTTCAAATATTTAAGCACTTAAAACTTCACGCGGTACACCTTATGAAAGATTTTTATGTAACAATATTACTAATTATATGGCCCATATCATTCCATAAGAATAGCAATTTGTAAAGTACATGCTAGTTACCAAGTGCTATTAAAGTAAAAGCCTCATTCTTACCATGGAAATATTTAAGTATACATATATTAAGGAATTTTAACTGCTATTTGTAATCATTCATTATATAATAACGTTTATAGGTTTTTTTTAAAGCAGCCTTTTCAAACCTTTCTACATTATGTTTCCGAGCACATATCTCAATTGGTTTTAAAAGAAAAGCGAAGCTAGTTTCGAAAGAAGAAGTTATCTCTTTTATATTATGTTAAATATCGACTTTGTATTTTATATATGCGTAAAGTGAAAATTGTTTCGAGGCTATATCTCTTTTTTTCGTAATTAGAATATATATTTCTTATATACATATATTAATGGTGGACATATATTCACAATTTCTATCATTAAATTTTACTCGCTTTATAGCTGTGCATTTTGGTACTACTATTACTTAAATGCCTATTAATGTGAACTCATAAGCTTGATTAAAATTTCTACATGCTTCGAGAACACCTACTTACATAGGAAGCGTAGATCTCTGCGAAATTAATCTGCCATGGTCTAATACTTCTAATGACGACAAATTCCCGCATAAAAGTGGTACAAGTACACAACATTCAGTACACATTACACAAGTACACAAGAGTTACCTAAAAGCATCTAACCTTCATAATTGTAGTTTTCGCGTATTATATCATTTATTAAATGGCGAATTGTTAATCAAGCCTCCGTTAATCTGTTTTCACTGTACGCAGTAAATATAAAAATGTGCTTGGCTTATTGGAAAATTCTTACAGACGTGATAATCACCTACTATTGATGATAATTCTAAATAAACGTGACGAAAGTTAAAATAAGGTTGTTATCGCTGTTTTATTTGTTACCTAACACTTCTATACAATTAAGAGTTGTGTTCTACTCTTTAGCTCATTATTTTAATATGGTTTTATGATCGTGTTATACGTTAACATCTTGTCATTAGTATTTTCAAAAAATGTAATCTGTGAAAGTACAGTGACCGGGCGATCGCCATTAATTCGAGCATTTAGTCGAGCAACCTGAGTGCGATCCCAGGTGCCAGCATCACTGAAATTGTTAATGTTAAGTGTTGGCTTATCACGTGCTCATCAGTGGAGGAAAACATCGTGAGGAAATCTGCATATATTCCAAATAATAACAAAATAAAAATTAGAAGATATGCGAAGTCCGCCAACCCGCAGTGGGGCCGCGTGGAGGACTATGAATTTAATTCCACGCGATCGTAGTAGTCTTCATCCTCCGAAAGAGTGTTATCCGAGCAGTTTATAACCTGGACGAGAAAGAATCACTAAAAAATTTCATAAAAGAGATCAAAGTAGTGACTTCTCAGTAGCCACTTTGTACTGAGAAGCTCTACTACTAGCTGGGTACTTACTACCCACATACTTGAAAATGTCCATATAAACAAGAATGATTTTTCAAGACATGGTAGAGTGCATGATATAAATACCGGGAATAAACATAAATTAATTCTACCCACAACTAGACTGCGTAGAATAAATAATTCTATGGGACAATGTTAACGTTTTACAAGAAAATCCCAGAAAACGTTCACGATGCATCAAAGTTCAAAAAGTTCCTTTACCTTTTGAATTTAGCAATTGATACATTTATATACGTTGGTGTGTTAAAAGCTATTATAATATTAGAGATTAATTAAAATAACACAACCTGGAAATTAATTGATCGCTCCTAGCTCTTTCAAGTTGACTCTAGTACATTGTAAACATATTTATTATCAAATAAAAAATAAATAAATATTTAGGACACATTTACAAAATGTTCACTAGTCCCAAACTAAGCAACGCTTGTACTACGGATACTGGATAACTGATAAACATGCTTTTATTTTGTAAAGAAATACATTTTATAAATATATAAATACCCAGATAATGGAAAAATACTATGTTCATCGCATAATATTTTTACAGTAGTGAGGATTGAATTCTCACCATTTGGTACGAGAGAACTATTTGGAAAGTGCTTGCATATGAGATTCGAACGCTCTACCTTTTTACTTTTACTTTGACAGACGGTTTCGTTTTCAGGCCGGAGACTTAAAGCTTTAGCGTGTGCTAGCCACAACCCGCTACTTGATAAGGCCGTCTCGGAGAGATCGTTCACTAAGTGATCACCAAAAAAATTAATATTTTTACTGGCCTAATATTTACTCGTCTAATCGATTGAGCTTATCAATCGATTAGACGAGTAAATATTAGGCCAGTAAAAATAGTAATTTTTTTGTCAACTTCGCACTAAACTACTGATACAGTTTTTGTTTTATATCACGTTTAGGATCACCTACCGAGTGTAAAATCACAAAATGCTGGCAGACTCCAGTAGAGCTTCAGACGCAATCTTGAAAAAATGTTTTTGGCCGATATCTTGATAACTGCGCACTTTAGGACAAATTCGTATAAATTACATTACAATTAAAGAGAAATAATTGTATATGTTATAAATTACAATTAAATTCACATCTTTTGATTCCCAAACTTATATATGGATCGTTTAATGAACATGTTTTTCCATC